ACACTGCCGCAGCCCTGATGGGGGCCATGATAACCCAGTCCCCCCCCAGACACAGAAACTGAGGGGAAAGGAGGGAAAGGGCTCCTGCACCACAAGCGGTGGCGGGTGAGACATGCTTGGTGGGGAGGGAGTGGGCAGCCGAGGCAGGTAGAGTGGCAGGAGGTGGGGCAGGCGAGAGGGTGCTGGGGTAAGGCCTGTCCCAAACACAGCACCGCCTTCCAGCTGGGTCTAAAGCTAATTTGCAGAAAGAAAACTGGTACCCCACATTCGGCTCCACAGGCAGGCCCCTGAACAACTCCAGGGGGCGCCATTCACATCATAGTCTTTGGCATGGCTCCCCCTGCAGCTGTACAACATGGTTGCCCTGGGGTAGAGGCTGAAGCAGGGGACAGAATCCTGAGGAACCACAATTCTCTACTGAATTTTCTCCCCACACATGCTGAAACTCTCCTCAAACACCCACCCCCGCCTCCAGGCCTCAGAGGAGGGCTCCTGTCTGACTAGTGATCAGAAACCAGTAGAAATCTCCCCAGCCTTTAGCCCTGCTCCCTTCCTTTGTTGGGGGGGGGGTTGGCAAATAGCCATGACCCACAAGTCCTGAGGGTAGTAGGAGAGGCTCACAAAAGGCTCTGGAGAGTCTGGGGACCTGCATCCTAGTCTTCCATCTGTCCCTAACTCATCCTGAAACTGAAACTGTGGACAAACCCCCGGCCTCCTCTGGGTCTCTCAAACAAGGGAGCAGGACTGGATGTCCTTTCTCTAAGGTGTCTCCAAGCCCCATGGTTCACCAGCCTGTGAGTCTGTTGGAGCCTGTCCAGCACCTCAATTCACACCAGTGGCCACAGGCCACCCAAACAAACTCAACCCTGACCTCCTTCCAGCCTGGACACAGACTCTCTCCACATGGAGACATAAACAAACCAAGCTGGGGTTTACGGAGACCCTGCACAAACAAGCAGAGAGGGAAGCAGACCAGGTGTGCCTGGCCTGAGGTCCACCTCGCTGCAGTAGGGTTGGGAGAGCATAAGGAGGTGAGGTAGAGGACCATGATAAGAGAAAAATGGTGCAAGCAGCCTGGGTTCTAGTCCCAATGCAACCTAGAGTATACCCTCTCCAGGCCTCAGTTTCCCCCTCTGTGAGGGGAAGGCGTTTTCTAGGTAGCCCCTAAAGCCACTTCCAATTCTGAGTCCAGTTGGACAAAGAAAGCTCCAAGGGGTCCCAGGACTCCTCCACTCAGCCAGGCTTCGTCCATCTACCCGGGTCAGGCCCCTCTCAGCAAGGTCCTGCTCTCACCCAACATGCCTCCTTGCTCTGTCTGCTGTCCATCTAGCCCTTCTCGCTCCTCTGTCTGCCTGCTTACCCTCACCTTGGCCAGCCCCTCTGCCTGCCCCGTGCTTTTCTGCACGTCCCTCCTGCCAGGGGACAGACCAACTAAAAATAGTCCCTTGCAGCCTTTCTCGCCCACAGCTGCCCAAAGAGCAGGAAATGAGGGGGGCGGCGGGGAGGCCTAAGCCCTGCCCTCCCCAACTAACGCCCAGGTCAGAACCATGTCCAGCACTACATCCTGGGGCGAGTGCCAACTTGGCCATCTCGAGGGCAACCCACACCCTTTCCTTAGGGGAAGTCCTGCACATAAGTGCCTACAATCACAGAGCTGCCCCTACCCTGCGGGAGGAGCAGAAAGAAGGCAAGCGGTCTAGAGGGAAACCTTCCCAATTTCTGACAAATCAGTGCCAACCACATTGTGGGCACCCAGAGGGCAGGACCTGGCTCCAGTGACTGGTCTTTTGAGGGCAGAAGGAATTGGCGTGGGGAAGTTGGTGCTGGTTTCCTTCATCCTGGCCCAGCTGGAGGAAAGACAGAATAGTGCCCCAGCCTCAATTATATTTATTAATCCCCTGCTCACCAAAACATAGGGATTTCGATAGCCATCCCCAGATATCATGGGAAGAAAAACTAAGAGATAGAAGATCTTGGCTGCTCATATATAAAGATGTAAAGGGGGTTGGAGGGATCTAGGATGGAATCCTCTTCCTAAATCTGGAAGGCTGGATACACCATGCCTGCCAGGCTGTGTATGTGCTGCCCCCAAGCTGAGTCAGAGACTAAGAGGGAGCAGCTGGGGTGCTCTGGCGCCCTACTCCTATCCCACCTGGGATTCCTGACACCTCCCAGCCCTGGGGGAAGGCCCTCCCCACACTGGAGGAAGGAAACCAGCTTGGCGACTCTCTGGAGCCCTGCAGGGGAGCCCTGCGCCCAACCCAGAGAGTGAGTGAGAGAAATACCTCAGAGGGGAGGAAGCAGCCCAGATCAAGGCAGACACACAGCACCCCAGCAGCTCCCAGATGTGACCCATAAGGAGGTACTGGCCAAGAGGGTGAAGTGGGGAAAGTGAACATATTTCTGAACCGGAAGAGAAAGCAGGGCTATGGACATGGGGAGAGGGTGGGGCCAGCCTGGCTCTCATCTGTTGTTCTCTCCCCTTGTCAGGGTCAGAGACATTGACATTAAGGTCATCAAGTAGCAACCAGGTCCTTAGGTCCTTGGTGTGTCTCCCCCTTCCCTAATCTCCAGACCCTGGCCTGTTCATTCCTGGGCGTCCTTGGGCACCCCTTCCTTGGGGCCAAGCCATGTAAGAAGTCAGCAGGCCCAAGGTGGTGCTCAGGAGACCCGGGCAGTGCCAGGGGCAGTCCTCATACCATCCTCCCACTGGCTTCCCTCCTGCCTGCTCTTAGCCGCCACACATATCTCAGCTGTCGAATCCGATTAGGGCTCCTGCCCAGTGAGCCGGACAAGGAGGCCACTGGGCAGGGGAGAGAGAGAGACAAGGACGCCAAGCAGGGATGGCAGAAGGAAGGTGGAGACACGGCTCAGGGGAGAAGGTGTGGGGCCCCAGAGGAAGAAAAGCCCCGTGGAGAGGTCTGTACTCTAACCACAGGCTCCCTGGCGAAGGCTACAACCTGTGTTAGGGGAATTCTGTAGCACCCGCTGCAACAGCCCTTCCCGCTTCCTCCAACCCCCAGATGGGCAGAGGATGGGGGAAGAAAACTGGAGGCAGAGAGATTGACCTAGATTTAGGAAGAGGATTCCATCCTAGATCCCCCCAGCCATAACTACCATTTGCACTGAGCTTTGCGATACATTATCTGTGGGGTCTTAATGGCAGTGTCCCTGTCACGCAAGCAGGGCTTGCTACGGATAGCCATTTTTTTTTTTAGTTGGAGTCTCACTCCATCACCCAGGTTGGAGAGCAGTGGCACACTCACAACCACCTCAGCGTTGACCTGCTGGGCTCCGGTGATCCTTCTGCCTCAGCCTTCCAAGTAGCCAGAACTACAGGTGTGTGCTACCACACCGTCTAATTTCTGATTATTGTAGAGACGAGTTCTCACCAAGTTGCCCAGGCTGGTCTCGAACCCATGGGCTCAGGCAATCCACTCGCCTCAGCCTCCCAAAGTATTGGAATTATAGGCTGAGCCACTGAGCCCACCTCTGATAGCCATTTTAACAAATGAAGACACTGAGAAGGTGAAGACCTGTACAAATGCATAGTTAAGTCACCAGACTGAGTTTCCAATTCAGGCTTCTGATTCCCAGTGCATTGCTCACACTCAGAATCCTTCTTTCCTTCCTAGATCAAGCCCAGAACTAAGTCTAAAGCCACTCCATTATCTAGCCTTTCCTCCAAAACCAACCCTTGGGAACCCAGGGAGCCACAGAAGAATACAGAGCACACCACATACCCAGACAGAGTTACCAGAGAGAGACATGCCACACCCACCCCTACCATACACTGAGAGCTACAGGGGTTCCCTCAAAGTGTGACCAGTTTCTTCTATCCCCCACATCCCCAGTCTACTACTACCAGAGGTAAGACACACACTCACACATGGTTACTCAGACAAGTCATACACCCTTCCTGTAAACCCACCAAACCAGAATGAGATGCCCTAGATCTTCAGAGTCAGAGAGCAGGGCCTGTCTGCCCACCACAGGAGGGAAAATAAGCCACTGACAACACTAGATGCCATCTAGCTCTCTCCTAAAGAGTCTGGGGGTGGAGGGAGACAGCAGCTTGGGAAACTCCCAGTTCTAGGGAAACACCAGGAGCCTGAGGCTCTGAAAGCCAAGGAGCTCAGGGAGCCGGCAGGACTGGGTGACCTCCCCAATCTGGTCCACACCCCCTTCCCTAGCCATCTGGGCTGAGCCTGTTCTTGCCTGGGCTATCCTCTGGGATCCCTCCCCTTCAATGCATGCAGACACCTCCATCCAAACCTTATAGATCTTAGAACCACATGGTCTGTGCGCGCGTACACACACACACACACACACACACACACACACACACACACACGGGGGGGGGGTAGGGGCTTTTTGCAATGGGTGTTAAGGTGTTGGCAGGGATGGGAGCTCTACCCTGAAGGAACTTTGCCTAAAGGGAAAGGTCACCATAGCCCGCTCACAAACTCCACTACCCTCCAGCAAAGCCCTTGGCCACCCAAGTGTGAGATGAACCTGAAGCGGACATTAATTCCCTTACAAGGTGAGTAGGGAGTAGGGGCAAAAAGTCCTGAGCCCTCAGGGGTAGGAGGCAAGAGAGATAAATCCTGCAGGGAAGCTTGGCCCCTCTCTGGCTGCGTGACCCCTGCACTTGCCAATCCTCCTGTCTAGGTGAGGTGGGGGAAGGGGTATTAGACAGTACAGCAAAGGAGGGTGCAAGGGCGTGGGGCCTGGGCAGACCATCCCCCCGCTAGCCCCTCTTGGCTGGGGAACGGGACTGCCTCCGGAGAAATGAGGGGCAGGCGCTGGAGGGTTCAGGGCTCCGAGCTTTCCGACACCCCACTGTTCCCAGGCTCCCACCTCCCAGGACTACAGTGAGCGGCGGCAGAGGAGGGATGGGGAAAGCCAGGACTGGCGAGAGGGAAACGGCACGATCAGAAGCAGAGGCCCGGGTGAGAGGCAGCCGAGGAGGCACTGGGAAGGGGTGTGCATGGTCCTACCTGCTCAGGTGTGTGCTGGCAGGGGGGCGATGGGGTTCCCAGGAGAACCGGGGAAGCCTCTCAGCTCGATTCAGGATTCCCCCCTGCTCCTGGGTTAGGTTGCTGCAAGAGGCACGGGTTCCCGTTGGGTCCTAAAGCCCACTCTTCAACAGGAGGCTCTCCCCGCCCTCTTCCACCAGCCCTGACTGGGTCAGCGGCGCAGGGCTGAGGACTGATGGGAGAGAAATAATCCACTGGAAAAAAGCTGGGGGTCTGGTCATGAGCTGTGGGCAAGAACAGTCCCCAGTCTCAAATACACAGCATATGGATAACTTTAGCCGAGGGTAGGATGACATGGAACTGGAGGAAATAAGGCATTTCTTCCTGGCTAACCTGAACAGATGGATTTGGGTATTGGTGCTGGAGATGGGGTTAAGGTCTCCTTCACTCCCATTCCTGCAGAGGCATTTAGCTTTTGGAAATGTGGGAAGGGCCGGACGCAGTGGCTCATGCCTACAATCCCAGCACTTTGGGAGGCTGAGGCAAGAGAATTGCTTGAGTCCAGGGATTCAAGACCAGCCTAGACAACCTGGTGAGACCTCTTCTCTACAGAAAATAATTTTTTTAAAAATTGCCGGGCGTGGTGGCGCGTGTCTAGTTCCAGCTACTTGGAAGGCTGAGGCAGAAGAATCACCTGAGCCCAGCGCAAGGTCAAGGCTGCAGTGGCAGTGAGCGTCCCACTGCACTCCAGCCTGGGCGGCAGTTAGACTCCAACTCAAAAAAAAAAAGAAAATGTGGGAAAGGAACACTCATTTTGGAGGGGTGCTCACTTTTGTCCTCTTCCTCACAGACAATAGTAGCTTCCTTATCCCTCCCCACTATTCCTAAGTGCCTACGAGGCCATCCAGGAGAAAAAAACCCCAGATTTTCAGCAAGTTAAAAGGGCAGGATGACTTAGATGGCAGTTGGAAACGATAGGACCAAGGTGTATGTACCTGGGAGTGGGGCAGGCAAACATACATATACAGCTGAGAGTGTAAGCAGGTGGGGTTGGGGGGCAAGGAAGAAAGCAGACAATGACTTTGGGCTACACCCATTACTAGAAATGATAATTATCAGTGGTAGGACAGGGTGCAAAACCTAGGGGTGAACTGCCCAGTCCTCAGTAAGGTCCTCAATCTTTTTTTGTTCTTTAGCCAGGGTCTCACTCTGGCTAAAATTCCAGGCAGGAATTCAGTGGTGCGATCATGGCTCACCACAGCCTCGAACTCCTGGGCTCAGGCGATCTTTTCCCCTCAGTCTCCTGAGTAGCTGGGTCTTCAGGTTTACGCTACACCTAGTTAGTATTTTTTTTTCTTGAGTTGGAGTCTCACTCTGTAGCCCAGGCTGGAGTGCAGTGGCATGCTCCAGCGATCCTTCCACCTCAGCCTTCCAAGTAGCCAGAACTACAGGCACACACTACCATGCCTGGCTAATTTTTTGATTTATTGTGGAGATGAGGTCTCACCATATTGCCCAGACTGGTCTCGAACCTGCAGACTCAGGCAATCCTCTTACCTCAGCCCCCCAAAGTGCTGGGATTACAGGCTTGAGCCACCGTGCCTGGCCTCTAGTTAGTATTTGTACTTTCTGTAGAGATGAGGTCTCACTATGTTGCCTAGGCTGGTCTTGAACTCTTGTGTTCAAGAGATTCTTGCACCTCAGCCTCCCAAAGTGCTGGGGTTACAGGCATGAGACAGACACCACACCTGGCCAGGCCCTAAATCTTTATGACCAGAATGAATACATTAAACAGAGAATATTTTCCCAGGTACCATTTTGGATAAATATGGGGCAGAAAAACCTCTTGACACAATAGATCCACTTCAAGGTCCCTCTGTAGGAGAACGAACCTTCCAGTAGCTCAAATGGGATAATTTGTTTGGCAGGTCAGATGAACAAGGGAAAGATGGATGAGAATTCTGCAGAGTTCTGGACTGAGGACATTTTGCAAGGAAAGTTGCACATATCTCTAGCAGCAGAGCAGGGAAAATGCCCTGGGGAGAAGGGCCAGGGGAAGTCAGGGCCAGATTTGAGGGGAGGAGAGGAAAGAGTATGGTCTCTTCCTAGAAGGGGAGAGGACAACAGCTATGCCTCCACCTCTGTTTGCAGGAAGAACGGGGAAAAGGAGCTAAACAGTAAGGATGGAGGGCCCCAGGGTGGAGTTCATGGGGTGAGCTTAGGTCAAGCCTTTCACCCTAATGTGCCTCTCCCAGCTGTTAAACAGGGCTCTTCGTTCTTCCCAGGCAGTTAATGAGTGTTTACAAAAGGGCTTGGAGATCCTCAGATCTCAGCTGGGCCACCACTACAGTTATAAAGCTCAATAAGGGCTGAGTGTTATTTGGGGAGGAGAGGAGTAGGGGAAGAAGGAAACAGACTACTCTCTTTCAAACTAAGGATAAAACCAAGCTCAGAGAGAAGTGCACGTCTAGCTGCCACAGGATATCCTTGTGCCCATGGATGGAGGTCACCCCCCCACCAGCCACCACCAAAGGCTGGCCTCCAGCTAGCTGTAGGCAGAACCCAGACTAGCAGCTGGTCTTCATTAACTCCAGCTTTTTTACCCCCCACTGTGAACCCGCAGCTTCTTCAGGCCTAGGCTAGAGGGGGCTGCCCTAGCCCGACCTTGCAGCTGACACTGGGGTGGGGGGCACTGCACCAAAGGCCAGGTTACCAGCTGAAAAGAAACTCAAAGCAAGACTCCTTTTTCCCATTGGGAGCGAGAAGAAAGAAGTGTGGGGGTGAGAGGGTGGAGGTGGGGGAATTTAGGGCAAACAGCAGGCAATGAAGTCAGCTGGATTGAGGCCCAGAAACCCCCACACCCTGGGGCCAAGTCTTACTCTAGCTTTGCTTTCAGCTCAAGTCTTGGCGAGGCCCCAAACTAGGGAAGGCCCTGGTTGCCCCTTTCCGCCTCCCCACCCCCCCTTATTAAATACACATTTTATCTCTCAGCATCTTCATTATCTTAACTGAAGGAGACAAGCAGTGGATGGCGGCAGCAGAGAGCGTCAGGAGAGGGGGGCGGGGAGCAGGCGCACCCTTGTTATAAAGTGCTGATCTAGCTCTTTCAGGCAGTGTGGGAAACAGAGGAGGGATCAAAGGGAATGAGGCTGATTCAGAACTCAATTAGAGCTTTTTAAAAAACGAAGCTGGCTCTCTCCTTTCGCCAGTCTTCAGCTTTTACCCAGGCCCCTTGCACCCAATTAGCTTCTACTGCCAGTACCTTGGGGCTGGGGTTGGAAATCAAGGAGAGGCCAGAGGGCACACCTTCTCCCCAGCAGAATACACCTCTCCTGAGAGGAGGAAGACATGCAATTTTGTGGCTTTAAGAGAATGTGTCTCAGAGGGTAACTTATCTTTTCAGGAGGAACCTGAGATCACAACTTTCCCCAAAAGTTAAAAAGTGGGACATCAAAAAAGGTAAGCTCCTCCCTAAACCCTTGCAACTAAAAAAGGCACAGCTTCTGGCCACTCTAGGGACACTGGGTAACATCCAGACAGACACCCCTCTTCCCAGTCTAGGTAAGACTCTCTCCCCACAGCTAAAGCTTCCCATCAGCAACATGGAAGCTGCCTTAAGCAAAATACCACTACATCAGAGGGAGTGATTGGAATGCATATGTGAGGCTAATAAATGCTCCACAACTGTGCCAAGACATTTTGTAAGATGGAGCACCCTTCTCTCGCAGGGGCCTGCTGTTCCACATTCATGCAAAAGCACTAACGATGTTTACCTTCAGCTTAGAACTGTCCTCAACATGGAGGGAAAGGGAGCATCTTACTGGGTTAATTCAACAATTATTGAATATCTACCAGGTACCAGGCACTATATTAAGTGCTAGGAACAGATAAAAATGTAAATGCAATTTCAATTTTGGCTCTCTCTAGTTCTCATAGCAGTCAAGGTAACACCTGCCATTAGATATTTTAAAAAATATAACCCAAGTCATATCTTATTCCCACTTCCCAGTTCTTATTGGTGTATTTTCAAAAGGCATTTAATACAGGTAGGGAGCAATGGCGGGGCGGAGAGAGAAAAGGGCTCTGCCAACATTTTTTCATCTCTGGGTAGCTTGGACCTCACACATTCCTGCAGTTAGCTAGCCACAGGAAAGTCTTCATTGAGCCAGAAATGTCAGTGGCAGCTCTGGGGTTGAAATACACACCAACTTTATTGTGTCTGTGTTCTTTCCATAGTAATATCCAACACTCCATGGAAGCTTAATCTGCTTCTTTGGTCGGGGGCAGGGAGATAAACCAGAATATAGACATATACACACCACCACCTTCAAAAGGAATAATGTAGGTCAGCATCTCTGCCACTACTGTATGTGAAGCAGCCTATGATCCTGGCAAAAACTGGTAACCACAAGCCCATCCCATCCCACTAGAACTCGCACCATCTTCCTGTAGCTCTCAGCTTCAGTGAGAAAAGCCAGCAAGGAAAGGGCTTTCTTCCCGGGCTGTCTGAATTACACTTAAGACTTTACTGACAAACATATATCAGCTTTTGCTCCCACAAGGGCAGCGGAAGCCAAGCAGGGACTCTTAAGTCTGCTTCACGCATCATTGACAGAATCAACCCTGTTCCAATTGCTAAAGTCTTAGGAGCAGCAATGACCTAGAAATTGACAGTGGGGGGAGAACTGAAGGAAACGAACAGACCAGTACGCAGAAAACCCTATTTCTAAATACCAGGGGAAAGGGAGAGAAAGGAGGTAGAGAGGAAAGAAATTTGGCCCCTTTGAATCTACAAATGTGATCCTGGCTGGAGGCCAGGGAGGATACATAGCAGCCCCACTGCGAGTCAAGCCATGTTCCTGACTCAAGCCCTACAGTTAAGAGGAAGGCGCCAAGCCTCAAACACAACGAGGTAGGAAGGCTGCTCCTTATTGGGCAGGATCCTACTGTGGACACAGAACAGACAGCAGCTGCCCACAGTGTGGAAACAAACTGTAAAGCAGTCACGTCTCTTAAGGCTGCAGCATCCAATAAAATGTAATTTAAATCAAGCCTCGCATCTGTTCTCAATCCCATTCAGCCTCTGCTTTCCATCAGCCTTTGGACAGTCTTTGCAATTATGCTGGTTAACCCTTATAGTCCCAGACACTTTCCAACCTTCTAGGTATAGAACTGTGTTCCCCATTTGCAAATTACCTTCAGAGGAAATGAATAGAGGAGCTCTAATAAAGGAGGGTGAGAGTGAGAATGACGTTCAGGCTTGAGCCTATAGACTATCCTGTGCTACACACACCAGTGGACAGTGTTCATTTCAGAGGGCTCTCTCTGCTTTCCCCTCTTCTATCCCATACCACCTGCTGTAGCTCCGATCACATTACAAGGATACGGTGGGCAGGATGAATGAAACAGTGGCCAACAGATCATTTGTACACCTATCAAGTTCCCAAATGCAAGGCCATGTCAGGAAGGGAGAGGAGGCAGCAAGAGGGCTTGGGGAAAAGTAGACTCAGTCACTGGCTCTCAGATTCTTCATATCACACATGGTTTGCATTTCAAGCATTTGCTTGAATTATAAAAGTACAGCAATCTCCCAGGCAAATCAAACTTAAGAACTTCCCCCTCCTTCCCTCAAAATATCTCAGCCCCAAGCCTACACTTTCAAAGCAGTCAATGTTATGATGGTGCCCTCTGGTGTCCCTGTCACAAATTGCCATTTAATGCCACCAAACCATAAAGACGTTTTGATTAACCATATGAATTAGCTTATCTAATAAGACCGGGGAAATGTGTATTTAGATGAAAATCCAACCCAAAACTAAGGCATCTTGAAACAAGTGGCTTCATCTGAGGGGAGCTAACACCATGAGACAGAAGGAATTTTCACACTGGCTTCTGAAAGTATGAGTGCTCTTGAAATGTTATTACTTTAAAAGACAAAGAATGCAGCTTGAAAATAAATATATTCACAATCTGTAAAGTTACATTCTCCTTATCACCCCCACAACCTTGGGAGTGCCCAAGAAACTCATTGAGTCTTTAAAATGTCACAGTGTAGTAGCATCTGCAACGTGAACATAGTATACTCTGAAAAGAAATACATTCTTTGACCAAAGTGTCCTCTAAATCTCCATGTGGACTTATTTTTCTGAATCATTCTTTATAATTTCTTTTTTTTTTTCTTGAGTTGGAGTCACTCCATTGCCCAGGCTGGAGTGCAGTGGCACACTCACGGCCACCCCAGCGTCGACCTGCTGGGCTCTGGCTATCCTTCCACCTCAGCCTTCCTAGTAGCCAGAACTACAGGCATGTGCTACCACGCCCGGCAAATTTTATATTTATTGTAGAGACGAAGTCTCGCCAAGTTGGCCAGGCTGGTCTCGAACCCGCGGGCTCTGGCAATCCACTCGCCTTGGCCTCCCAAAGTGCTGGGATTACAGGCTGAGCCACTGAACCGGGCCCATTCCTTATAATTCTTATCCTAACCTCAAAGTTTTTAACAAAATATACTATGTTTGAGAAAACTAAGAGGTATATATGTACACATTCCACAACACAAATCTGTATACTTCATGCACACTGGTTGGAGAGACCCAAGTGGTAGAAGTTGTGAATGTAATTAAAAAGAGTCTACTTAATCTCTTTTATGGGTAAAAATAATAAGACCCATGATATATTCTGTGTTAATATCAAAGAATCTACAGATTAAAACTCACTGGTTTCAAGTAAAAAGATCATATTTGTTTTCAGACCTGAACATATAAAGCACTAAAATGAAGACTCCATAGCTCTCTGAATGCCAGCTGAATACTTTTGGGTGGGGCATAAGAAAAGAATTTAAGGCAATCCAGTAGCTAAAATATTTCCAATTAAAGCTTTGTCTTTCAAAGCATGCTCTATTTCCTTCTCTTCAATCTTCAAAGACACCTGGAAAAAACAGAAAGGGATTTTTCATGGTGGACTCACAAAAGCAAGTTGTCACTACACAAACTTCTACCATATTAAACTTTTCTCACAAGAGGCAAAAAAGCTAAACACTGTTTTTCAAAGGCCTGAAAGAATATTCATATCACAATTTCATCCTCACACACCTTAAACCATACCTAGCAAAAAACAACTTGTTTAACTAATTGTGGTGATTTTTCTTTCTTTTTTTGAGTTGGGAGTCTCACACTGTTGTCCAGGCTGGAGTGCAGTGGCACGCTCACAGCCACTGCAGCCTCGACCTGTTGGGCTTAGACGATCCTTCCACCTCAGCCTTCCAAGTAGCTGGAACTACAGGCATGCACTACCACGCCTGGTTTATTTTTTCATTTATTGTAGAGATGAGGGCTCATAAGTAGACCGTGAACAATTACCATAACACTATAAGAAAGGGATTGGCAGTAGTGGGGAACTGCCAGGGGTGGGAAGGGAGACACACCACATCAATAAGGTCACCTGATCTCAAACCAGGTGAAGTGGGGGACCAGAGTGAGGCCCAAATTTTACCTACACAATGACCATTTGTATACCTAACTGAATTGTACACATCATCTTTAAAATATAATAAATAATTAAGCTCTCCAAAAAGGTCAATTAAAAGTCTTGTCACAAAGAAGCAGTTAGTTATACCTTTGTGAAGCGGGTTTCCTTGTTCTTCTTTAATCCTATGATGCCCCTGGCCTCCAAGAGCCCTGAAAGTGACAAACATTCTGACTGGTCCACAGTAGCCACCTGCTGTTTGCGACAGACTTTACAATAGGCTTCATATAACTGGAAGGAAATAAGAGCAAACAAAACATTGCTTAAAAGTCACACATCTCATAATTTATAGTTTGGTTTTTTTTTTTGAGTTGGAGTGTCACTCTGTCGCCCAGACTGGAGTGCAGTGGCCGCTCCCAGTCACCGCAGCCTCGACCTGCTGGGCTCCAGCGATCCTTCCACCTCAGCCTTCCAAGTAGCTGGAACTACAGGCGCACGCTACCATGCCCGGCTAATTTTTTATTTTTATTGTAGAGGTGAGGTCTTGCCAACTTGCCCAGGCGGGTCTTGAACCCACAGGCTCAGGCAATACAGTCATCTCGGCCTCCCAAAGCACTGGGATTATAGGCTGAGCCACCGAGCCCGGCCCATTATTTATTCTTACTGTTGAAATCATTTTTTTTGTCTTTTTTAAGTTGGAGTCTCACTCCGTAGCTCAGGCTAGAATGCAGTGACATGCTCACAGTCACCCCAGCATTGACCTACAGGGCTCCAGTGATCTTTCCACCTCAGCCTTCCAAGTTGCCAGAAATACAGGCATACTCTACCACACCTGGTTAATTTCTTTTTTTTTTTACTGTAGGAACAGGGTCTCACCAAGCTGCCCGGGCTGGTCTCGAACCCACGGGCTCAGGCAATGCTCTCACCTCGGCCTCCCAGAGTACTGGGCTTAATGGTTGAGCCACCAAGCCCAGCCTCTTACTGTTAAAATTAATTTTTAATTTGTATCAGCTACAGCATAATAGGCTTTTGGAAAATATCAGCTCTGCAAAGTAGATTCTCATCTCTACCTCAGCTTCATCTGCTGAGATTCTCAACTTACCTTCCCCAGAGTGACCTCTTTGATCTTCAACTGCCTGGTTAAGAGCAGCAAAGAGCAGACCAAGATCTTCTGCTGAAGAGGGAAGGAATCTTGTGCTCCTTCTTGGCTCAAGGTCATCCTGTTACCATCAACTTGTGAAATTACTTGGGATATGTGAGTAAGACCAACCCGCTTGGGAATCAAAGACTCAGAGAGTGATTTACCTATAAAGCAAATAAGTCAAGCTTAATTAGGTTATTAAAATATTGTGTGTATGTGTGTGTTAAGAAAGACTATACTAAGTTTCAGCAAAAGTAAATTCAAGTGTAGTCACATGGTGGCAAAGAAGAAGTTCCAACTCTCTAACCAGAAGCCAAAGGATGAGAGATAATGCTAACCTCAGAAAGACGCCAAAATAATGTGGGATGATTTGGAAAGTAGAGTTACCCTTTCTCTCAACAGAATAGTGAGCTATTTTTGTCCTGTGGAATGTGAGAGAGACAAAATTCACCACATGAAAAGACAGACAACTACTGTAGTGTCTTCCTGATATCGCAGAGGTAAAGAATAGAAACACCGGGCTCGGTGGCTCAGCCTGTAATTCCGCACCTTTGGGAGGCTGAGGTGAATGGATTGCCTGAGCCCACAGGTTCGAGACCCGCCTGGGCAGCAAGAACTCATCTTTACAATAAATCAAAAAATCAGCCGGGCGTGGTAGCGCATGCTTGTAATTCCGGCTACTTGGAAGGCTGAGGCGGAAGGATCGCCAGAGCCCAGCAGGTCGAGGCTGCGGTGGCCGGGAGCAGGCACTGCACTCGTCTGGGTGACAGAGTGAGACTCCAACTCAAAAAAAAAAAGAATAGAAACTAGAAGTAAAGATAATGACTGTTCCTGATAATTAAGAAACAAACAAAGCTGGGCTCGGTGGCTCAGCCTGTAATCCTGCCCCTTTGAGAGGCTGAGGTGAGTGGATTGCCTGAGCCCGCGAGTTCAAGACCCGCCTGGGCAGCGAGACCTCATCTCTACAATAAATCAAAAAAAAAAAAAAAAAATCAGCTGGGCGTGGTAGCGCACGCCTGTAATTCCAGCTACTCAGAAGGCTGAGACGGAAGGATCGCCGGAGCCCAGCAGGCGAGGCTGCGGTGGCCGGGAGTGGCCACTGCACTCCAGTCTGGGCAACCGAGTGAGACTCCAACTCAAAAAAAAAAAAAAGAGAAACAAACAAGCCGGGCTCAGTGGCTCAGCCTGTAATCCCGTGCCTTGGGAGGCTGAGGTGAGTGGATAGCCTGAGTTCGCAGGTTCGAGACCCACCTGGGCAACCTGGTGAGTCCTCACCTCTACAATAAATCAAAAAATTAGCTGGGTGTGGTAGCGCACGCCTGTAGTTCCAGCTTCTTGTAAGGCTGAGGCGGAAGGATCGCTGGAGCCCAGCAGGTCGAGGCTGCGGTGGCCAGGACGTGCCACTGTACCCCAGTCTGGGCAACAGAGTGAGACTCCAACTCAAAAAACAAATAAACAAACAAAAAAGATTGGAAAATTACTTAAAATCTTGAATGAGGAGCTAGCTAAATGTGAAGAACAAAGTCAACCCACAGCAGTCCTCCAGATGGCCTCCCTACGTGACCTTTGAGCTTTGGTTCACTTGCCCAAGCTGACCTGTAGTACAGCAACACTTGAGACAACGTCATTGGATATCCCAGCAGATAGCACCATCTTAAACACTGGGGGCTGGGAAATTGCCAACAAGCTGTAGAGGACTATGGCCTCATTGTTTGGAGATGCATGAATTGCAAGAGAGAGGAGAAATTTGCTCTGCAACAACCCTTGCCTTAAGTTACTTCCTGAAACCACTTGTAGTTGTTCTATAACAATTTGCTTCTATTTCACTACCACAAAGGGAAGCTGCATAGAACTAATGGAGAAACCAGGGATCACAGATCAAGCAATAGAATTTTAAAGTTGGAGTAGAATTTAAAAGTATATTCTTACTCCTACCCAATGGATGAGTCCCCTCTAAAACTATCCCAACATGGGCCATTGCCTTGCCATACTCTGGTGTGGCCATGTACTCTTTGAGCTACAGCTGTTGCCATGCTTCCTGGCTTTGGCCCCTTCCCTCACCTTGGGGAGGTGAATCTTCTCTCTAATTTACTTTTAAATAAACTATATTTTCTAATCTAATTTCTGTGCAATTTTTTGCATCTTTCACGGTGCATCAGATTGCTCCCCAAACACCCACACCCTCAGTGGGTCTGACCTAACATTCTGGATGCCCTGCTGGGAGAGTGTGACCCTAAAATTTTTGGAGGTCCCACCGAGATATGCCACTCTCTCACTCTCTGTCATTCTCCTCTTCCACCGAGACCTGCCACTCTCTTTCTCCTCTCCAAAAGTCCTTAAATATACCCATTTCGTGGCCCTTCGAGGTCACACTTGCCTATGAATGTCGGCCCCCTTTCCAATCTGTGAAAGGTGAATAATAAGCTTTATTTCTTTCTACTTTCTTTTTTTTTTTTTTTTGAGTTGGAGTTTCACTGTCACCCAGACTGGAGTGCAGAGGCCACTTCCGGCCACCGCAGCCTCGACTTGCTGGGCTCCGGCGATTCTTCCGCCTCAGCCTTCCAAGTAGCTGGAACTACAGGCGCGCGCTACTACGCCTGGCTAATTTTTTTACTTATTGTAGAGATGAGGTCTCGCTGCCCAGGCAGGTCTCGAACCCACGGGCTCAGGCAATCCACTCACCTCAGGCTCCCAAAGGCGTGGGATTACAGGTTGAGCCACCGAGCCTGGCTCTTTCTAACTTTCAAAGAAAACAAAACAAAGCTATCCCAACATGTTATCTACCCAGCTCTTGTTTTATTTATTTATTTATTTATTTTGAGTCAGAATCCTACTCTGTTGCCCAGACTGGAGTGCAGTGGTGGCTCCCGGCCACCGCAGCCTCGACCTGCTGGGTTCCGGCGATCCTTGTGCCTCAGCCTTCCAAGGAGCTGGAACTACAGGCACACGCTACCACGCCCAGCTAATTTTTTTTTTTTATTTATTTATTGTAGAGATGATGTCTTGCCAAGTTGCCCAGATGGGTCTCAAACCCACAGACTCGGCAATCCACTCACCTCAGCCTCCGAAAGGCGCGGGATTACAGGCTGAGCCACTGAGCCCGGCTCAGCTATTGTTTTAATATCTTCAATTCTGAGGAACCTGTTTCAAGGAAGTCCAGTTAGTTCTATTTATTAGAAATCTTATTATTTCTAGTTGAAGTCAGTCTCCCTATAGCTTTCTTTTTTTCTTTCTTTGAGTCAAAGTCTTATTCTGTTGTCCAAGGCTGGAGTTCAGTGTCATAATCACAACAATCATGGCTCATGGCAGCTTTGACCTCCTGGGCTCAAGTGATCCTTACACTTCAGCATCCCAAGTAGCTGGGACTACAGGCATGCACCAACAAGCTCGGCTAATTGTTTTATTTTTTGTAGAGACAAGGTTTTGGTATGTTACCCAAGTTGGGCCCTAGAGCTTTCTGAAGTCATTAAAAGCCTATCCCCCACATACCAGAAGTCAAAAGATAGAAATTAGAGTCAGGTGTGGTGGTTCACCCCTGTAATCCCAACACTTTGGGAGGCAGAGGCAAGAGGATTGCCTGGGTTCAGGAGTTTGAGACCAGTCTGGGCAACCTTAGCGAGACCTCATTCCACAATGAACCAAAGGAAAAAAAAAAGTTAGGCATGGTGGTGCGTGTCTATTTCCAGCAACTTGGAGGCTGAGGTAAAAGGACCACCTGAGCCCAGAAGGCTGAGGCTGAAGTAGCCGTGAGCATGCCACTGCACTCTAGCCTGGGTGACAGAGTGAGACTCTGACTCAAATAAATAGAGAAATTAGGTTAGTTTAAAAATTTATGCCAGGAACTTATAACCTCTTTTAGCTATGTGTGTTGCTTGCAGAGGCCACTGACAAGCCTAAATGTTATTGACAGAGGAAAAGGAGGGAGAAAAAGGAATAATTTGGAAAGTCGAAGAAGAGGAAGAAACCACTATCTAAGTCTATGCACTGGTACATATTGCCTACTATTAGCCCAAACATTACTTTTGGCTACTTCTTAAATATTTTAACAAGTTGATTAAAAAAGAATGCATTTCAGCCGGGCTCAGTGGCTCAGCCTGTAATCCCACACCTTTGGGAGGCTGAGGTGAGTGGATTGCCTGAGCCCGCGGGTTCGAGACCCACCTGGGCAGCAAGACCTCATCTCTAC